TGCCTGTTACTTCAAGAAGAGAGTGCATTGCGATGCAGGGAGCATTCATTAACTCCCAAAGCCCTTCCGGGGTCTGCATCATGCTGATACTTCCCATTGAATAAAATCAGATGCCAAAGTGAGAAATCCAAAACCTTCCTTCTTGTTGGAGACTTCTGCTCCCATCCTTTGTACGTCCCAGTTCTGACTAGTTAATGGCTTCGTTCAGCTGGGATGTGCACTACACAGTGGCCTGTCACAGCTTTGGTTTTGCCACATATTTGTTCTCATCTTTTCACTCAGATGGGGGAAAAAAAGGTGAATATTAGATGGGGGTGTGCATGGAGAGGGGAGTATCTAGGAGATGGAGTATGTTTCTGTTCAGTGTAGCCTAGTGTATTCAAATGCACAATTTTCTTATCTCTTCACTTCCTTCTCCCTCTTAGGACATCACTGCCCTGCATCAGCATTTTAGAAGGATTAACTGGCACTCTTCTGTGTGCTCTGAATGGGTACTGAGTAAGTGAGCATGTGTGGAGAGAGTCGTTTGCTTCTGTGTTAAGTAGCTGGGTCTTCCAGGGGGAGGGAAAGCAGAGACTTATCTTTGTGGGGGCGGGAGCCAAACAGGAGAATGACAGTTCAGAGCCATTATTAGAAAGGAAAATCTATCATTGGCAAATGCAGGTGATGGGAACAGATTGTTGCAGATCTCAAGTCAATATCTCCCAGAACACAATGATCTAAAATCAGCTCTTTCTCATGTCAGAGGGTCCGTGTTGTCCTCTGCCCCACCGAGCTCAAATGCCCATAAGCCAGGACTGTAGCCTTCATGCAAAAGGAGAATGACTGTCCCAAATTATTTTATCACTCAGATGAAACCTAAGCTCTTAAGCAGGTGGAAGTGGTTGTGGGACTTGCCCAAGAGATGAGCATTTGTAAAGCAGAGGTAGGTTGCCAGTCTCATCAGAACAGTCACTGGTGGGGAAGGGCAGACATAGCATTCGTTCAGAACCTCATATCTTCCTCTAACATCCATTTCAGATTCTTCTTTAGGAGAAGGAATGTTTCCTGGGGAGTTGGTCGCTTCCCGGATTTCTGAATGGGCAATGGCTTCTGGATGATCAGAAGTAGCACAGAGCGATTGAGCCCAATAATGGAAGCTGGTAGTGGCTCCCATTGAATGGGAGACTGAATTACTGTACTTGCGAAATGGGATGGGAGGAAAGCTTAGGCTCAGAGAGAGGATTTGCTGCTTTCATTAATTGTGGGCCACTTGTTACCCTGCTTGTCTTTTCAGAGAAGAGGCACACTCCCCTCCCACAACTGTGTGTGTGCTGGAGGTGCCAGATAGACATCTTTGGATGGGAGGGGGTGCACTGTGTGATGGTCAGAAACGTGACCTTTTAAAATCTATCTGTGCTGTATCATTTTAGTGCTAACAGTGTGGGAGGGTTGACCAGAAATGTAGAGGTAGCATCAAAAACTCTCTGAAATCTAAAAATGTTAGTCTGCTTTTTGGCTTTTCTTAAGTCAAGGCCTAAGTATGTTTGAAGCACTTTGAAGATGCAAAGCACTAGGAGCGCTGAGTACTCGTATTGCCTCTTTAAAAAAGTGGCATTTGAAAAGGGAAAGATGTATCCATTTCAGACCACTGGCTATTCCTTATCTCCTTTCCACAGCTGCCATCCAGCCCTTGGCATCCCTTCTACAGTTGTAGGGTGGGTTTGCCATTCCAGGCATCCCAAGTGAACAAGGGCACAATGAAGGAGGGAAGGAGACTTTAAAACTCCACATCCACCTTCAGAACATGTTTTTCCCCCACCACTTGCGGTATATAGGGGAGTTATTAGGTTCTGTTCCCATGTTAAGTAGTCCCAGTGCTCAGAGATGGCCGAGATGTGATCCAATGGGTTTCTTCCATCTCTAGTTATGGAGACCTCCTTTTAGTTCCCTTTTCTGGACAAATTGCACTTTAGTAGCTTAATGGGGATGGGAGGCATGTGTACCTCTTTGGGGTCGGGGCAACCCAACAGCTGTTCTCAGTGGCTGCTGGACTCTTCCAGTGGGTTAATGTCTCACCTCACATCCAACAGAACAGGTGCAAAGGAACTTGCTTAAAAAAAAACTAATCACAAAGTTTAGGCTTAAAAAAAATTGAACATTTTAGCTGGCTATGTGGGGTGTTTTACTTAGTAGCAGGCACCTGTGTTTGGAGGAAGCCCAATCCTCCCAGCTTTTCAGCGTTGACCTTCTCTACCATGCTCCTGCACTGCTTGATCTAGGTGGTTCTAAGACTGCTGTGTGACTTTATTGCCTATTTTATATGCTTGTTTTCCACCAAGGATGGGGTTGGGGAAAGTTACTTTATTTTTTATTCTTGGCATGATAGAGCACCTGAGTCTTTGCACAAGAAAGCTTCCTTTGCACAGAATGAGCTTCTAGCTTTTGTACAGACTAATTGAATGTATTTGGGCAGAGGGGGCTGAGGGAACGAATCAATTCCAAACAAACAAAAAACCCCTACATATATAATGCCTTTTCTGAGTGAGCGCGTGTTGTAAATGGAAATTGTAATACAAATGGGAGGACAGGTCTAGTTACAATTTGATGCAAAGTGTGGTTTTATTTTTGTACTGATATGGGTAAGAGACTGTACAGCATCTATTTATTTAGATGATTTATGTGGTAAATGTTGCAATCAAAGTTATTAAAAATATTAAATATGATAACTGACATTTAACTAATGGCCTGTTTCTGTCTTGTCATTTTCCCCCTTAATCCTACAATTCCATTCTTGGCCTATGGAATGAATGTGCAGTAGTGCTACCGGCTTAGAAGAGATGAAAATCATATGTGTATGATGCACAGGGATCATGTTTAGTGAGGGCATTTTCTGACAACACCTCCCTTATTGGATCATCTCAAGCAGGTTAGGGTTTTTTTTATTAATTTTTAAACCTGGAAAGTGAGTTTTAGCTGACCTCTCAAGATCCCTTTCAGTCCTATATTGCTGTTCTTCTTAGAGTGCTTGCTCATATCAGTTCCAATTAGGTGTGCGTGCACTGCATGCACGGCCGTTGGAGAATTTTTACCCTAGCAACACCCAGTGGGTTGGCTGTGGAGCTCCCTGGAGTGACGCCTTCATGGCATTCGATATATACCCCAGCCGACCCAGCGCCTCCTCAGTTCCTTCTTACCGTCTGTGATGGTCATTGGAACTGTGGAGTCCCGCTTCACTTGCTCTCCACTCTCCCTAGCGTATACCTAACAGTGGATAGTTTATAGTTTTGTTTTGTTAGTTATAGGTGGTTTACTTAGTGGGGTTGCTGGGCCTTTCCCCTCCTCCCAGATTCTTCTCTTGGGCTCATGCCCAAAGCTCTGGGATTCAAGCCCTGCAGTTTCTGCTCTAAGCCCATGCCAACAGGAGATCCCCATGCCTCTTGCCTGAAGTGTCTGGGGGAGTCTCACCAAGGAGAGAAGTGCATGGAATGCACCTGCAGGGCACCGAAAAGTAAATCCATGGTCTTTGCTGCCAAATGTTCTGTACACACGCTGCTTTAGGATTGACTGGATTCCAAATTGCTGGAATAGAGAGGGAGACTGATTTTTTTTTCTTCCCCTTCACCAGGCTTTTCTCCAGAAACAGCTAAAGTGACCTTAAAACTCCTTAATCAGTGGAAGCTGCTGGGGGGCAAAGACCCTCCAAAAATGCAGGACCTCAAGAGGACATTTGCATTGTTTGTGCCTAGGACTATCCCTGCTTCTTTGTACATTGAGGTGAAACACAGCCACGCGCTGTCCTGGTCTACAGTTTTTGTACCAATATAATTATTTAAGTTAAGCGTGTGAATTTGTGTTATTTGGTACAACTCTTACCATGAATGCAATTATACTGGCATAAAGATACATATATGGCAAAGCTTATTCCCCTTCCAAGCTGGGAATAAGCTATAGGAGCATAAGCACCCTCAAGTAGATATAACTACATCCACATTAGTGGCTGTTACTGTTTTACCAGTACTGGTGTAGTTACAGCACAACAACTGTGTGTAGATAAGCCCTAATTTTGAGCACTCTATTGATTTCAAACAGAATAGTGAGTGTAACAGAGCAAATGGAACCTAATTGTGCTTCAAGAATCAAAATAGGACCTTGGGTAGTTCAAGGGAACATGGTTAGGTTTTACCTGCTGTGTCATAGGAAAATGGGCTTTAACCATGAGAAAAGAACAATGGGAAAGGGAGTGCTAGGGTGGGTCAGACCTATGGTCCATGTAGTGCAGCATTCTGACCCTGGCAGGGGCCAGCACTAGCTGCTGCTTCAGGAGAAAGGGCAAGAAACCCTGCAGTGGGAGTTATAGGATAACCCGATCTCAGGAAAACTTTCTTCCTAACCCCCATTCTTCTACGGGCAGTTTATGTCCTGAAGCATGAGGGTTTCCATTCCTTCGCCTTTGATGCCTTACTTATAAATTGCGCTAGCCTTGTTAGCTTGATCTGTGTCCAGACCTTTTCTGACCAACGTGCTACCGGCAGGTCCCTCTAACTGCACTGATGGGGTAGACGGGCTGCCTACACATCTGCCCCCTTGACCCTGGGATCCGGGATCTCTTAGGGGGAAGGCAGCTTCACTGGCAACCGGTTCACAGGAGCCGAGGGACGGGGGCTGTACCTCTAAAACTGCCCCCCGCCTCCCAGCGCGTTTACACCCCAACCCCCCGTTCTTTGTACCCCCAGCCCCCTTCCCCGACCGCGCGCTTTGCCGCCCGAGCAGCGACCCAGCTCGCGCCCCGCTCCCTGCAGCCCGCGCGCGCGCCTGCGCCCTCCTCCTTTTCCCCTAGCAACCGCCGCCGGGGAGACCCTGGTAACGGTGCACGGGGGAGGGGGAGAAAGAGAGGAGGAGGGTCACGTGCGGCCGCGCGGCCGCAGAGCGAGCGTGAGCGTGCGCGAGCCGGTGCGGCTCCAGTAGCGGCGGCGGCGGCGGCGGCAGCAGCCTGAGCTGGGGGGAGGGAGGGAAGGAAGGAGGGAGGGAGAAAGAAGCGGGCGGGATTATTATGGGCTGTGGGTGCTGCTGCTGAGCAAGATGGAGCTGTCTGCAGTGGGGGAGCGAGTGTTCGCGGCCGAATCCATCATCAAGCGGCGGATCCGAAAGGTGAGCAGCCGCCCAGCCCGAGCCCGGCCCCGGCCCCCCGCTGCCGTGGGTTTGTTGCAATGGCCATTTCGCTAATCCGCCCTCCCTCCCTCTCCCTCTCTCTCTCTCTCTCTCTCTCTCTTCCTTCTCCCCCCTCCTCCGTTCCCCTCCTCATCTGTGTTTTGCAGGGGCGCATCGAGTACCTGGTGAAATGGAAAGGCTGGGCCATCAAGTGAGTTGTTCGAGTATTTCTCCGTGTGTGTGTGTGTGTGTGTGTATGTGTGTCTGAAGGGTTTTCCCCCAAGTCCGCGCTGAGATAATATTATGCATCCCTTTCCCGTGCGCGCAAACTGTACTCTGGGGTTGCTCCCCCCCCCCCCCCCCACATTCTCCTTTTTTATGCGGGTGCTCCTGTTTTGTTTATTTTTTTGTGCCTTGGCAGGTACAGCACTTGGGAACCTGAAGAGAACATCCTGGACTCCCGACTTATTGCAGCCTTTGAGCAGAAGTGAGTTTAACAGGGGAAACCACGTTTGTTTATTTGACATCTGAGCTACCCCAAAAAAAAAATGTGTATGTGTGTGTTTTTTCTTAAGAAAAAGTTTAACTTTCTAAAATTTGACTCCCTAAAGGGAACGAGAGCGTGAGCTGTATGGGCCCAAGAAGAGAGGACCCAAGCCTAAAACTTTCCTCCTGAAGGTAACTTTTATTTAAATAACTTAGGCCCAGTTAGATGTATCCAAAATCCCGCTGCCTGTCCACTTTTGGAGGAACTTAACTCTCAAATGCCTTGGGCCTCCCTTAGTCTGCATGTCTGGTGCAACTAAATAAAAGGGGGGAATAGAAGTAAGTGCATGAGATGCTGCTTGGGGTAGTGAGGGATTATCACCAATGGGATAATAAAAGCTAGGGTGTGTGAACCTGTGTTTGTGGGGATGTTCTCTTCTTGTCAGTCTCCTCCTCTCCTTCCCCTCCATCCACCCCCAGATGTTTGTCCCTGTGGTGTTTGCACCTATCTTCTCTCTCTCCCCACCACAGTGGTATTTCATTCCTCCCTCCCCACCTTTGGTCTGCATGTGATAATATAGTGGCATACTTGGTGGCTATGAAAAGGTTTTGTAGTTGTTCTTTTTTTAAGATATGACAAGGGTCCTGCTGCTGCCCCTCCTCTTCACATGTCAGTATGCTAGATGCCCACCGGCGCTATATTGGCAGTCCTTTGGGGCTCACTGCTTGTTCTGAAAGTCATGGAATAACTATGCCTCTTCATGGCATAAAGACTCCACATCGTCCCCATTGACAGTGTCATTTTCATGATATCTGTTTTTTCATGCATAGTCGTGTTTTGTCTCAGAAGGAAGACTTTTTTAAAAAAAAAAAAGGTGGAGTCCCCAGTTTCCTCTTTTTAAAATGTGGTGGTGGTGACCTTTGTAGCGGAAGTTAACAGATTTTTCCTGTAAGAGTTGGTATCTGCCATATTCTGCTCTCTGACTGACACCCTGCAGACAAATTTGTTGCATTATTGCTCCCCTACAAATCCCAATCCTGGATCATAAATGAATGGAGGTGCCAGAATATCATCCAGTGTATTTAAGACAAATTTGCATGGGGAGTCAGGAATTTCTCAATTCTGGTCTCATCTGATATCCAGATGCTATGGAGATGGGTGCTGTAGCAGTGCATCTAATACTCCTATCTCAGGCATTGACTCATTCTGTGCCTTTGGGCAAGTGAAGTTACATTTTTGTGTCTGCTTTCCCTATCTGTAAAATGGGGTTAATACTTTGCTTTCCTGCCTCACGGGTGTTGAGAGGCTTCACATCTTCAAAGCTCTGTTGAAACATAAGTGAAGCGCTAAGTGGCAGCACTCAAAGTTCTGTGCAATTGGACAGTGGTTCTCAACCAGGGGTATGCGTATGCCTGGGGGTACTCAGAGGTCTTCCAGGGGGTACATCAACTCCTCTAGATATTTGTCTAGTTTTACAACAGGCTACATAAAAAGCACTAGCAAAGTCAGTACAAACTAAAATTTCGCACAGAGCAGAATAAACAACTCATTTTTTATCTACTGTACACTGAAATGTAAGTACAGTATTTATATTCCAGTTGATTTATTTTATAATTATATGGTAAAAATGAGAATGTAAGCAATTTTTCAGTAATAGTGGCTGTGACATTCTTGTATTTTTATGTCTGATTTTGTAAGCAAGTAGTTTTTAAGTGAGGTGAAACTTGGGGGTACGCAAGACAAATCAGAATCCTACAAGGTGTACAATATTCTAGAAAGTTGAGAACCATTGCAATAGGATGCCCCCTGTTATCTGCTTTGGAAGGATAGAGCATATGGGAGGACCGCAGACATAGTTTAAACATTGTGGGGAGAATCTTCCTGGGGTTTTCTGGATGCCCTGGTAAAAATTGGGGAGCTCTCTGGAAATTTTTAGGAAGCACTGCTTGTGATTGGAACATTCTCCCCCCTCCGCGGCCGCCACCACCTTGTCTACATTGTTACTCTTTCCTTAATTAAAAACTGAAAACGATAAAAATCTGTTTGCTTTCCCCACTAATGAGTGTGTTTCTTTTTACACTTCACTCCCTGAAACGGAGCTAGTCAGTTTCATTCTATAGTCAGTTTTTATCTCTGACACTTATGCTTTAGATCTTCTTGTGTTTGGGAGTCTAATAATGCAGAGGAAAGCTTAAGACGACACCATTGACTTAAAAATAACATTTCTGTTTGAATTTTTTTAACCTACTATTACTTGTAACACTTGAAATCTGAAAAGAAACATTCTAATTTTTGCTTCTTTATTTACATTGAGTATTTGACAACTCTAATCAGTTTTCCTGAATAGTCGGTTGGTTTCCTCTTCTATGTGTGTGGGACAGAGCAACATGGAAGGGGAACATTTAGTTAAAAAATTTAAATGTGTAATACTATATATAGCAACATGTGATTGTATAGTCGCAAAGAGCTGGCAGGGCATCTCAGAAACAGGTGCAGATTCTGAATCCACCTTCTTCTGACTTACTGTCTAAATTGATTAGATTTCTAGTTAATGGTTTTCTATTTTAAAAAGATATTGGGGTTGGGGGACACAAATCATTGACACTTCAAGAAATAAGCATTCCTATAATTTCTTAAACACCACCACAACAAACAATATTCCTTCACTGGCGTCTTGACTTGCCTTAATTCTTTTCCCTCCTCAACTCTTGAAATCTACTTGACTGTTTCTGTAATCCTCTGACTTGTGCTTATAGTTAGCTTGTCACGCTGGAGAAGAGAGTGAAGCGTGGTGGAACAAAAAATCACCACTAGTAGGTTGATGCCTCACTGTGGGGAGCACTGAGTAGGGCAGGAGCTGCTGGTGTCTCCTCTGGGGAGGAGGTCTGGTGAGAGGAGGTTGTGTTGGGGACTTCCCTTAGTTGCTGGTTTCTTTGGGGTGTTATTTTTAGGGTTGGATCAGAAGTCAGACTAGACAGCAAGAAGTAACTCTCTTTTGGTTTAGTACCATCTGAACTTGTCCAAACTTTTTTTGAGGAAACTTTACAATGTGATTTTAGTTAGAAAATCAGCTAAAAGAGCCCTTCAGTCCTTTGTACTGAAGTCCTATCTTTCTGTCTGCCAAAGCCAAGGTTTTGACTCCTGTAAATGCTGCAGGACTGATGCCACTACAGGAGGAGAAGGAGGGTTCTGTTCTGTCTTGCACATTAAACATGTTGTCAGTTCTTTTGACTGCAGAATCTCTTGCCGATGAGGACTTCTGAAGCACGGGGGAGAAACTTGACTCTTGGGTCCCCGGGGGAGTTTGCAGAGCTGGCAGTTAGAACAATATTCTTTTTGACTGGCAAACTCAACCGATTAGAACTGGAAGGCATGGAGATTAAATACGGAACCAAACCACGACTGGTTGTAAAAGGCTAGCATGCACTTGTAATGAATGGTTTCATATATAATGTTTCTGACCAAGATTTTCAAATGTGGTGTTTAAAGTTAGGCTTCTAAATCCATATTACAGCATCTAAATAAGTGGCCTGATTTGAAATTCCGTTTGCTTATTTATTTAGTTATCTTAATATTGATTTGGAGCCAGATTTACAAAGGAATTACTCTTTGAATTGAGTTATGTGCCTAATCTGCTTGGGCACTTCTTAAAATCCCACTAGGTGCCTATCTGCATTTTAGGGCACCTGATTGTTTTATAAATGTGGCTGTTGGTGCCTTAAGTCAGGCTTCGAATGCTTGGCTTTTCTATCGGATCGCTAAGGGATATCACACCGGTGTTTGTGATATCACTAACATGCTCTTGCATCATGGATGGCAGGACTGAAAGTGTGGGCTTCAGCTACAGTATTTTGGGTAGAAGGTTTGGCTGTATTCCCTGGATATTAGTCAAACTTTCCCATGGATGAAGAGCTGAAGCCCAGAGGACAAGTTTACTTGTAGGGGGGATCATGGCATGCAATAGCCTGTAAGGTGACACTAATTTATGGAAAACGTAAATTGTTGCTTTGGGAGGGGAATTTGGAGTGGCTGATGTGGGGCAGTCCTTTCCAACCTTTATTAATCTGACATCCCTGATAGATCTTGTCTGTAGGAGGTTGCTTGAGGGTTTAGAAATATATAGATAGGAAATATCAATAAGATTCAGTCTGGGGAAAAATGGAAGCTCATGCAGAGTAATAGAGACACATTAACTGTCCCACACATATACTTTGCATGCAACTTTTGTCTTCCTTTCTCACCTCCCTGACATACTTCTTTCCTCACAGCTTTGTTGGCTTGGGAAATGCAAGGGTCACATGCAACTCCATAAAGTCATGCATGTGCTATTGGAGGACATGTCCCTGACCCTCCTGCTCAGCTTGCAGAGATCTCTATTCTCAGTCACTCTAAATAATAAGGTAAAGATTGGAGGGTGTTAATGGAGAAAGTAATACTGAGAGCGTGCAGTAATAGACAATAGGGGATTTCCCTCTTGCTGCTTGCAAGACCTAATTTAGTCTGTAAACTGAAGTGGAGGGAGGCGCAACATGGTGTTAAGCAACTTCCTCCCTCAAACTCCGCTTTTGATCTCCCTGTTCATAAATTACCCCTCAGCAGATTGAAATTGAAATCTGTTCCCTCATAGCATTCATTTTCCCTCCAATGGGGAAACACAGTTTATGGTAAGGTTGCTTAGGAGCCACAGCTTGCTGTTGCTCTGTCAGCTAAAGCTTGCAGAATGCTAGTCAAAGAGGTGAAAGGGGAAATAAGGGCTCTTATAAATATATTATTTGAGGGGGGAGTACAAGACAAAGCAGATGCACTACTAAATAAGGAGGGACTCGTGTAAATACGGCAGAGCTACTAAAGTGTTTTCTTTTGAATCAAAACAAAAAAGAGTTGCATCCTTTATTACTTCCTATTTGTAGAGTTATTGACATAAATTAGGTAAAGTAGGATTTGTGGGGAACTTGAATATGTACTTCTCACCCTGTCTTCAGTATGTGTATCCTAGAGTGTGAAGGGAATGAACTGATTAAATTATTTGTTGGATCACTAGCAATAATTATTTAAAAAAGAACAGAAGTAGGGAGGTGTGAGCTGATGAGAATTCATTAGGGGGCGGAGCAAATGTGATCCAGATTTCCAAAAGAAGGGAAAAAAGTGATTCTAGCAATTACTGTGCTGTAAATCAACCTTTGTTCTCTGT